GTAATTAGATAATACCGGTAATAATTTTGTGAAATTTTTACGCATCTCAATTTTTTGCAGGGTTACAAAGTAGGTTTCAAAAGCAAAATTGAGTCTCATCTCAATGTTCTTAATTTTTTTCCATTTTGTTTTAATCCATAGTCATTATGTAATTCATTTTCAGTTGTATGAATGATGTTTGTATATTTTTATTAATTTGCCCTAATTTGCTTTGCTGTTAGAATGCCATTGCTGTCGACAAGGTTCTCTCTAAATATAAAGTTTTTTGGTTTTTATTTATTTATTTTTCAGGTGATTGGGTAAAAACAAAACTTAAAACTTTGCGAAACAGTTATACGAAAGCAAAGAAGCCCCAGAGCAGTGGAAGTGCCAGGAGAAATCCAGGTAAACGGACCAGTTGGTTACTTCAGAAGTTACAGTTCTTGGCTCCACACATTGCTGTCAGAACATCCATTTTAAGTTTAAGTACTTCTGCTGTAAGTATGTTTGTCACTATGACAAAAGTTACACATTTGTTACTGGGGTGTTGTCAGAACTCAAAAACGCATACCTCATCATAGACCATTTTAATGGAAAAAGTGTGCCCTATTATAGATCAATTTGTGATTTAGTATAAACCTATTCAAGACATCATTTCAGGGGCCTTTGCAATAAGTTAATTTTTTATTTATTTATTAGTTATTTATTACAGACCAAAATGAAATTGCTGATCATCACATAATAGACCAATTCTTGCAAAATGTAAACACCATGTAAGTGTCTCAAAAACAACCCCACCCCAATGGGCGACACGTCCTCAGGAAATAATTTCTTGGAAGTGTCCACTGACAGTGTATTAGCCAACTACCTGTCAGGCAACTATTTTTTTGACAGGCAATATTTTAATATTTGTTTTTTTCCTTTGTTCTATGACAATTTTGTCAACAGTGAGTCCTTTTGAGGATAGATTCAAATGACCTATTCACAGGTAGTTGTGGGTATTTGTCAGGGCAACATGAACACATGCATTTTGCCCTGAAAAATACCTACAACTCTATGCGAAAGGGCCGTTCGAATCTGTCCTCAAAAAGGACTATTATAATGCTCAAAATCATTCTTTGCATAATTTACATAGATACTTTTAAATTATTGGCTACAAAAATGACACCTATTAACACCTATTACACTTTCAAATTATTTTATTCCTCCCAAACTATAGCCAATA